TAGGAGACCTCAAAGCCCACCCCCACAGTGACATACTTCCTCCAACATGGCCACACCTCTTAATAGTGCCATCCTCTATAGGCCATACGTTCAAACACATGAGTCTATGGGGGCCATACCTATTCAAATCACCACACATATATACAGATATACAGGAACCTTAATATTTATTTTTCAAGACATGGTTTCTCTGTGTAGCCCTGGCTTTCCTAGTCATGTAAGTAACCCTTCATCTATGCTCCTGTAACTCCAATGAACTCACTGGTTCACTAAGCCAGACTTGATGGAATTATTCCTTTGGTCTATCATCAATTCTCTATCTGGAGTGAATAGATGTTTGCTCACAACTCCCCAAGAAAAGTCACATGACAAAGAGAAGTTGCAAGTATTTCCCCCAAATTCAGGCTTTCTTATGTCAGTGAAATTGATGCCAAAATACACGGCAAAGTACTTGACACTCAAACATCCAGGAGATAGCCCAAGTCACAATTGAAGAATGAAGTGGCGGCAGTGATGATCACAAGACCCTGATTCTCAAACTCTGAGAGGCCCTTAGAAAAACCAAGGAAGCCCCAGACCCTTTATCTCTGCAAAAAATCAAAACTAAAGGGAAAAGGTATACTAGCATTATTCTGTACCAAAACACAGAAAAAAAATTTCATTCCATACTTCTATGTGTTACAGTGTGGTTGCCATTGGGACATGTTTGGTTGGTTGGTTTTGTTCTTTCTTTTTCTAACATTTTTAAGAGTATCAAACATGAGTCCATTGTATCACATCATTTCCCTCTCCTTCTCTCTCCAACTCCTCCCATGACACCCCTACTCCCTCTCAAATTAATTACCTCTTCTTAGTTATTGCTGTCATATATATGTATAAATAAACACAACCTACTGGATCCATTTAGTACTGCTCATATGTAAATGTGTTTAGGACTGACCCCTTGGGATTGGATAACCTAAAAGGGGGTTCACCCCTGCAGAAGATTGATTTTCCCTCTCTTAGAAGTCATTAATTAATTGCCTGTAGCTCTTCATCTAGGAGTGGGGTCCTGTGAGATGTCCCCTATCCATGTTGGGATGTCAAGTGATGTTGTCATTGTACAGGTCTTGTTTAGACAACCATATTGTGAAGATCTGATGATAGGCACAGCTTCCCTGTCATATATAGGAGACACTGTCAAGTAGCAGACATCCTGATCCCCTGGCTCTTACGGTCTTTCCACCCCCTCTTTGGTGATGTTCCCTGAGCCATAGATGGAGAGTTTGTGTTGAGGATGGACACCCCATGGTCTGTTATTCTCTACACTCTGACCAGTTATAGGTTTCAGTGATAGTCTCTATCTGCTACAAAAAGAAGTTTCTTGAAGGTAAGACCCTATTGCTGAAGACACCACACACTTTGGAAACAGGGCTTGGAGGAATTGAGCTGGAAGTAACCTAGAAACCTCCCTAAGGACTAGCTCTCACAGGCTTGGAAGGTGCAATGGAAGGTGCCAAGGGAGAAAAGCAATTAAAAGTCCTACCCATCTGTAAAGCCTATGAAGCACAGCCATAACCAGCACAGCACAAGGTATACCCTAGAGCGCAACAGTGACACTTCCATCTTGAGGGCAACCAATAGCCATTTAATTGGACTTATGAGGGAACTCATGCCTGGTACTGGAAACCTGAACTGTGACTGATGAGGTAGGGACCCTAGAGAACATACTCCTGCCACTTTCCAAAACAGTGGAATCCCAACTGCATTCTGAAGACTTATGCCCACAGATAAGTATAGCTCTCACCCTCACCAAAGAAGCTTTTGTTACTCTCTTCTTTTAAAGATTTTTTTTGCAGGGCAGTGGTGGCACATGCCTTTAATCTCAGCATTAAAGGGAGCAAGTAATCAATCCCAGAATTAATTAGGAGTCAGATGCAGGCAGTTCTCTGAGTTCAAGGACAGACTGGTCTATAGAGTGAGAACTAGGATCTCCAAGGATACATGAAGAAACCCTGTCTTGAAAAAAAATTCTTTTATTGTTTTTATTTATGTGTGTGTGCACATGCACACACATGTGTATGTCCACATGTGTACAGGCATTCATAGAGACCAGAAGAGAATGTTGGATCCTCTAGAACTGGAGTTACAGTTGTAAGCTGTTGTAAGCTGCCCAACGTGGCTACTGGGAAACAAACCCAGTACTCAGTTGGAAGCTCTGCCTTGGCCCCACTCCTCCTCTCCAAACCTTGCCCCATCCAAAAGACTGCCAAAAGCCCAGGCTCCTCCCCTGAAGCTCAAGACCTCACCTACAGGGTATTTAAGCCCCTGTCTAATGGGATTATATCGCTGGCAATCCACAGAGTCTGCTTAATGATCAAAGGAATTTATTTGGGGGTTAACTCACAAGACAGAATAAAGGAATTTGTCACAGGATCCTGGAAGGGTGAGGCACGGTCCAACGCTGTTCTCCGGCGAGATCAACCGTGGTCCTTCCAGCATCCAAAACCACAAGGTAGTGAAGAGAGAGCCCAGTAAGTGCATCCCAGGTCTTAAGGGGTCCCCCACCCAGCGGCCACACCCCAGGGGCATGTACTTCAAGGTCGTAGGCAGGTGTAACAGTTACCTGCTACCTCACTAGGGGCAGTGCTTCAGAGCATGGCGAGAACAGCTACCCTACACCTGTCCCTGGACCTGCCATGTGATTTCTCTCCTTCTCCCTTTCTCAAGATCACCCAGGGGTGCTTTGCTCAGATTAAACCTGGTCCTTTACTTTTTAATTCAGCTCGATTTGGCTTACTGCATGGGTGAAGAAACCTACTATTGAAGTACCAAAAATACCTATCACTCAGGTCCTCTGGAAGAGCAAGTGTACTTAGCCAATGAGACATCTCTCCAGCTCCTTGTTCTTTCTCTTTGTGAGAAAGGGTCTTACTCTGTAGCTCAGACTGCCTTGGAACTCATTATTCAACCCAGGCTAGCCTCAAACTAGAGATCCTCTCACCTCTACCTCTCAAGTGCTGGGATTATAGGCATGTACCACTGCTCCTGGCCTGTGTCATGGTTTTGATAGGCATGAGTTCAGATACACTCATTTTCCTAAAATGTAAGTTTTATTCCTAAGGCAACATTAATCATATCTCTATCATTATTGTTTACTATGGTCTTGCTCCACATTTTAAGGAAAGTAACTCAACTTTTTCTGGTTCTGATTATCGAGAGTATGAGGAACTTCAAGGACAATTAGGGTTTCTCTGAATATACTCCCTTAACAGACAATCAGTGTCTCAAGAATGGAGCAACGACATTACTTGGTGATGTTGGAAACCTATCCCCGACAAACACTTTAGCAATCTAGGAATAGAACAGTCGTGTTCTAGAATCAAAAACCATTCAAGCTAGCTTAAGTATGGAGAGAGTGTGTGGAAGCTACTAAGTACAGGGAGGGGTACTGTTGGAGAGGAAGAAGAACATCTAATGTTCTGTGATACAGTAACTACGGTTCAGGACAACCAATTAATAGACAATTTTGAGTGTTCCCAGAACAACACCAAAAAAGACATCTATGTAGGTTACAGATACATCAGTTACATCAATTTGATCATTATACATTGTATACATGTACTGAAATCTCATACTGTATTCCCTAAATATGTACAATTACACTTTTTTTAAGCAAAGCAGGATTGACAAGATGGCTCAGCATATAAAGACACTTACAACCAAGCCTGATGACCTGAGTTCGATACCCAGGACCCACATGGTATGGTAAAAGGAGAGAACCTTACTCCCAAAAGTTATTCTCTGACCTCCATATGGTACCATGCCATGTTCATGCCCATACAAACACACAAATAAATGTATGAATATAATAAATTTAAATTTTAAAACTAAAACAAAAAGGCAAAGCAGATATGGTGGCACATGTATTTAATCCTAGCATTCAGGAAACTGAGGCAGGAGGATGACAATTGTAAGGCAGCCTGGAGTACATAGGGTGAAACATTATCTTAAAAATAAACAGAGAAGGGGCCAGACGGCGCACGCCTTTAATCCCAGCACTCGGGAGGCAGAGGCAGGCAGATCTCTGTGAGTTCAAGGCCAGCTTGGTCTACAGAGCAGGATCAGGACAGGCACCAAAACTGCACAGAGAAACCTTGTCTTGAGAAACCAAATAAAATAAAATAAACAGAGCCGGGTGGTGGTGGCACACGCCTGTAATCCCAGCACTCGGGAGGCAGAGCCAGGTGGATCTCTGGGAGTTCAAGGCCAGCCTGGTCTACAGAGCGAGATCCAGGACAGGCTCCAAAGCTACACAGAGAAACCCTGTCTCGAGAAAAAAAAAAAAAAAAAAGGAACTAGTGGCTGGCTGTTCTGCTTTTCTGATCTTTCAGCTTTCACCCTGAAAAAAAAAATGAAATAAAATAAACAGAGAAGGGAAAGGAAGGAAGAAAAAACAGACTATGAGGTCTATTGTACTCATTACTCTATTCATGACTGTGAAAAAAAGCCCCTGACAGAAAGCAACTTAAGGAAGGAAGGTTGGCTGTGGGTCACAGTTCAAAGGGCTACAGTCCATCATGACGAGGAAGGCATGACAGCTGAGCATAAAACAGCTGGTCACACGCGTCCACACTCAGGAAGCAAAGACAGATGATGTCCGTGTTTCACTCACTTTTTCCATTTTATTCAGTCCAGGACTCTGGCCCATGGATGGTTTCATCCATATTCAGGGTGGGTCTGCCCTCCTCCGGTAAAGCTCTAGGGAAACACCCTCATCAATATGTTCAGAGGTGTGTCTCCTACGTAGTTCCAAAGCCTATAAAGTTGAGACGTTTAACCATTATACTGGGTGTGGTGGCATTTCACCTCAGCACTCCGAAGGTGGAATCAGGAAGAGCAGAAATCCAAGACAAGTTTAAGCTACTTAGTTAGTTCCAAGCCAGCTTAGGCTGCACAAGACCCTGTCTCAAAAAAAAAAAAAAAAAAAAAAAAAAAAGACAGCAAAACAAAAGGTTTAATTACTTGTATTTTCAGCCATTTCCTTCAAGATAAAACCATTCCTCATGGAATGGAGCTTGTCAAGATGCAGAATATTCTAAGAGGAGATGGAGCATTTCATCATGCAGGGAAGCTCATTAAACTCATGAAGTAAGCTTCTCAAAGCTCAAAACAACCAAAGACTTCAAGAGGTCCCTGAAACTGGCCAGTCTCACTAGGACCCTCCCTCCCAAGCACATATGAGCAGTAAGAACTGCTTAGAGATACTCTCAGACCAGCCGAGGTACCGAGGAGAGGCTCAGACCAGCCAAGCAGTCTAGAAGAAGTAGAGGGTAACTGATCACCCCATCTCCCCCAAAATAAGAAGAGATCAACAGAGCAGCCTGTAAGAGCCTCCAACCATCTTAGCTGTTTAAAAGAGGCCGTCTCTAAGCTGTTGAACTTCCACAGGTTGTGTGCTGTAATCCAGGTTTTGAGCTTCTGTGAGCTGTCACCCATGCTGGGTGGGCTTTGGTGAGGCAGCTGTCTGAGTCATTTCTGTTCCAGTAGACTACCCCTCTCCCACATTCCTTTTAGTAACCCCAGTAAAACTCATTGGTTCACAAGTTAGACTTTGGTGGTATCTGTACTTAGGTCTGTTATCAGTTCCCTATCTGGAGTGAGTAGACACTTGTTCGTGTCTCCCTAGGGACAGTGTCACATAACACCAGCACATCTCCACAAAGGTACTTACTAATTACACAGAGAAAAGCACTTCGTACCAGGTACGGCCATGTCATTTACTTCTCAAAACAGTCCTAGAAGGTGGGTGTCACCGTGTCTACTCGGTAAGACACGGAAACTGCGATCATTTGCATTGATAAGATGATTCTAAAAGAGATGGTCAGTCAGTAAACTGCGCGCTATGCTAGCCCGAGGACCTGAGCGCAATCACCAGAATCCGTTTCAAAGCCAAAACAAACAACCGGACCCATGGTGGCATGCGTTTGTCACCCCAACACTGCCAGGGCTGGGGGCAGAGACAGGCAGGCCACTGAGACTCTCTGACCAGCCATACGAGCCTATTTGGGGAGTTCCAGCAGCAAGAGACCCTTTCTAAACAAAATAAAAGTGGGTGGCACCTGACTAACAACATCAGAGGTCAGCGTCTGGCATCCACACTCAGGTGCATACACACAGACACACTCAGATACACACAAACACACACACACACACACACACACACACACACACACACACACACACACACACACACACACAGGAGAGAAAGAGAGTTCATTCTAGATGGAATGCTCTACTCCTATCCCATGCTTGGCGTCCCTCATGAGTTACTAGAAGTGGCCATGAGAGTAGCGGAAGGATCCCCTCCTGGGAGAGTTTGGAAGAAGGAACTGCTACATCTGGGGCGGGGGCGGGAGATAGGCAGGACATGCTGATTAAACAGGAAGAAGCATTGCATTGGAGCGGGAAGTAGACAGAAGTAGAGGCCCTGAAGGCCGGGCAAAGACAAGCCCCTTACCTTTGTCCATACTCAGGTCAAGGCAGGGCAGACCTCCCCAGGACCTGAGATCCAACACAGTCCAGAGCCCAGGCAGGGTTTGTCAAGGCAAAGCTCCTCTCAAGCCAGATATGACCTCAGAGAAGGTTTACTTCATGTAGAAATATACTTGTGCATATGTGTGTGCCCATGTGTGTTTACATATATGCACACATATGGAGGCCAGAGGTCAACGTCAGGTATCTTCCTTAATCATTCTCCACTTTGTTTTTTAATTTCCATTTTATTTATTAGTGCAAGGGGTGGGTGTGACTGTGAGTGCATGCACATGAGATCAGAAGACAACTTTGGGGAGTCGATGCTCTCCTTCCACCACGGATTCAAGGGGGCAAACGCAGTCAGACTTGCACACACCAAGCACCTTTACCCGATGAGCTGGCTTCCTAGCCTGTCCACCTTTTTTTCATTTTTGAGACACGACACATCATCCTGTCTCTGTGTCCCCAGTGCTGAGATTAAAGATACATGGCTGCTGTGTCCACTTTTACAGAGGGGCTGGGATCAAGCACAGGTCCTGATGCTCGCACAGCAAGCGCTTTGCCAACTGAGCTCTTACCCGTTCATATTTTTGTTGAGCAGGTCGTGCAGTCTTCTGCCAGGTTCCTGGTGGAAGTTGTTGAGCAAGCCTCTCCTTTCCCCACCAAGGTGCAGCAGTCGCCCCTTTCCTACAGGAACAGAACCTTCTGCTTCAGCTGGGACATACATACTTTAGTTTCTCTTCAGCATACGTGTCTCTCTCCCCTTGAACGGGAGATATAACCAAATAGGATAAATAACACTTCTCAGCCTCCAGTGTGTTTTTGTTTGGTTAATATGGGGAATGGATGCAGGGATGTAGGCAACTAACAAAAAAAAAATTCATTAATTTATTCTTTCACAATTTCATACACATCTATAATGTATTTTGATCATGTTTACCCCCAATACCCTCTCTTATACCCTTTCCCTTCCTACCAAACAATCCTTCTTCCCAAGGCTCCCCCCCCTCTTCTGTCATGTCTGTGTGTGTGTGACCCACACAATTAATTAGCTTTGCTTGCATGGGCATGGGGTGGAGGGGTTATTTACTTGCATAAGAGCAACTTCTCATGGCTACATCACTGAGGAATTGACACCCCCCATAACCATTTACAGTCTATAGCTCTCAAAGAGGGAGCCTTATAAGCTGTAGAAGCCCACAGAGGTTTCCTAGTGAGATCTGAGCTTGCTTTACCCAGCAGGGCTGCATAAGGGGATGGCTTGACCATGCGCATGGTTACCAGGTGTTTGGAAGGGTCTACGCTTGGCTTTTGCTCCACTCCTTGGCATTTCCATAAATAGCCCTTTAGAAGAGACAGAAGGGGTCAGTGGATAAGGATCCCGACCCTCCTGAGGCTATCCTGTGTTTCTGTCTGTCTCTCTCCCCTCTATATTTCTATCTAAATATTTCTCACTTCTCCCTACTTGAGAGTGCTCTGCAGAAAAAGTGGGGGTGGGTCCCCCCACAATAAGCCTCTCTTCAATCCATGATGGAATTCTTACGGAATTCCCATCATTGTGCAGGGAGCAACTGCGCTCCAGGTTCACAGGTGCAAGTACCACATCGTGGCCCCACAGCAGCAGCTCACAGCAGCCCTCCTCACCCTCTGCCTCTTACGTTCTTCCTGTCGCCTCCTCTGCTGTGCTCCCTGAGCCTTAGAGCGGGTGACATAGATGTTCCGTTCATAGCTGAGCTGAGCACACAACTGTCACTTATTCTCAGCACTCTGACCAGTAATGAGTTTCTGTATTAAATGTGGCCCACAGCAAACAGAAGCTTCTCTGACCAAGGCTGGGAGCAACACTAAGCTATGGCTGTAAATATATTTGGAAGGCAGTCTGGCATCATGCCCATATAGCTAAACAGTAATAGGTCTCCCACTCACATCCCCAAGGCTTATGACGTCCCTGGCCACGGGTTTTGGCCAGGTTCACAGTAGCAGGCATACATTCTTCCTGTGGAAAGGTGTTGGTTAGCATTTATATATACTACCATTGCGCTAGTGGGTACATCTTGTCTGTCAGGTTGATATTGTAGCTTACAGGGTTCATACTGGGTGTCTTAGTTAGGGTTTCTGTGGCTTCGACAAAACGCCATGACAATAAAGCAAGCTGGGGAGGAAAGGGTTTATTTGGCTTAGACTTCACCATTGCTGTTCATCACTGAAGGAAGTCAGGACAGGAACTCAAACAGGATGGGAACCTGGAGGCAGGAGAAGAGGCCATGGAAGGGTGCTGCTTACTGGCTTGCTCCCCCTGGCTTGCTCATCCTGCTTTCTTATAGAACCCAAGACCACCAGTCCAGGGATGGCACCATCTACAATGGGCTGGGCCCTCCAACATTAATCACTAATTGAGAAAATGCCGTAGAGCTGAATCTCATGGAGGCATTTCCTTAATGGTGGCTTCTTCCTCTCTGATGGCTCTAGCTTGTGTCAAGTTGATGTACAACACCAGCTGACAAGACCAAGCAGATGCCATAACAGGCTGCTCAGTCTTCTCTCAGAGATCAGGCCTCAATTTCAGTTTCCTGAGACTTGAGCAGCAGTTTCTGGGAGGGCCATGAACAAAAGACATAGTCCTTGCAGTAGCTCCCTTTCTGCATGTACTCTGACCGCTCAAAGTTCAGCCAGTTGTTTACTGTCTGGGACCCCTCACCAACTTAGAGGTACGTGCATGGGTCAATGTGAACGTGCTAGGCCAGCTAAAGGACAAAACCTGGGACTTGTCCAGGCCTGCCCCCAAATGATAACTGTAAGCCCCAACCAGTAAATTCAAAGGTTACACACCCTCACCCAATCATATGACGCAAAGGCTTGTACCACCCTGCTTGCGGTTTTTCCCTTTAAAAATCCCTCACCCTGAGAGCTCAGGGCCGTTCTCCTCTACCCGCTGTGACACGGACCAAGCCCGGGCTTGCTTGTTATCAATAAACCCCTGTGTGTTTTGCATCAGATATTGGCTCTATGGTGGTCTTGCTGGGGTGGGGGGGGGGATCTCGCAATGTGGCCGCAACACTAGGTAAGACTGTTGATGACTTTTCTCCCTCAGAAGCTCACACAGCACCTTCCTGCACCATGAAAACTAACTAGCAAGGGAAAAGCTTCCAGCACAGTTCCAGCTTGATTTCTCTCCACCCAGCAAAACAAGTATGTGGTATTTTCATCTAGTTCTAGCAGGCAACTAAGAGCAACGAGAAAACCCTGTATCGTTTTGGGTCCCGAAGGCCTTCTTAACCGGTGCTTCATAAGGAAATACCACAGCAGGCACTGAGATGTTTTTTTAATAACCTGGGAGTTAGGAGTTCTGGGAGCAGAATTATCCAGAAAATATTTCTTTTAGGGTTTGTTTGTGTTTTGTTTGTTTGTTTGTTGTTGTTGTTGTTTTGGTTTGGTTTTGGGTTTGTTGTTGTTTGTTTTGTCTTGTTTTGTTTTCTTGAGACAGGATCTCTATTATTGTAGCTCTGGTGGTCCAGGAACTCATTATGTAGACCAGGCTGGCCTTGAACTCACAGAGAACCACCATGCCTCTGCCTCCCAAATGCTGGGATTAAAGGTGTGCCTCACCATGTCTGGCCAGAAAATATTCTTGATAGAAAAAAAAAATACAGTTTTATTTGTTCCCTTCTAGTCAAAAGGGATCATTCTGACTAGAATATGTATGTGATGGCTGGTGCTCTTGCAGCCCTCTTGGATTATGAGACAGCTTTGAGAATAAGAATTATACACAATGGAGTGATAACTTGAGAAATCTGGGTAGTTTTGAGCTTTATAGTGCAGCTGCCACACAGGCTACAGACTTCCTTCCCACTGAACTTTCTGTAGTTGTTTTTGTCTTGGTTTGATGCAGGGTGATAGGGACGGAATCCAGGACCTTGGGAATACTTCTGAGCTATGCTTTCTGCCCTTAGCTACTTACAAATTGGCAAATAAAAATTGTATAGAGTTGTGGTATACCTCGTGATGCTTTGACCTATGTATGCATTTGTAAAATGGCTAAATCAAACATTTCTCCATTGCTTCACAGATGCATTCCTTTTAAAAATATTTGTTGATTTTTATTTAATGTGTATGGGTGGTTTTGCCTGCATGTATGTTTGTGCATCACATGCATGTTTGGTGTCCACAGGAGGCCAGAAGAGGGCTTCAGATCCCCTGAAAATGGAGTTATGGATGGTTATGAGCTGCCATGTGGGTACTGGGAACCGGACCCAGGTCCTCTGCAAGAACAGCCAGTGCTCTTAACTTCCAAGCCATCTCTCCAGCCCCTGCATTTATTACTTCTGTAGTAAGAACATTTAAAAACCTCTCAGCAAATCTCAATAAGTAGTACTGTTAACTAGAGCTACTATGTTGTCCAGGAAGGCTTATTCATCCTGTGCTGTGGAACAATCCTTTTGTACACTGTGAAGATGTGTGGCTCTCATTGGTTTAATGAGGAGCTGACTGGCCAATAGCTAGGCAGGAAGAGGTTCGGTGGGAGAGTCAGACTGAGAGAACACGGGGAAGAAGAAGGGTGGAGTCATCAGCCAGAGGCAGAGGAAGCAGGATGTGTAGAAGATGTGATAACAAACCATGAGCCACGTGGCAGCACATAAATTAATAAATATGGGTTAAGTTGTAAGAGCTAGTTAGTAACAAGCCTAAGTCATCAGCTGGTCATTTATAACTAATAGTAAGTCTCCCTGTTGTTTATTGGGGAGCCAGCAGTCCTGATGAAAAACCCTGCCTACAGTCCTGTGTATCTGAAACTTTGTGCTAACATGTCCCCATGCCACAGCTGCAGGCAGCCTCCTTTCCACTCTCTGCCTCTTTGGTTTCAGCTTGCTTCAGTTTCCGTGTAGGGATGAGATCATGTGATACTTGGCTTCCTGTGTCTGGCTTAATATCCTTCAGGTTCACCCGTGTTGTCACAGCTCTGGGTTGAATTATGAAAAAGAAACGAACTTCTAGATTATCTCAACCTCTGGCACTGGGGTTTATGTTACCCCTGCTGAGCCCCATGCAGCCTCTGGCGGTGACTCACTGTTCCTTGGCTCCAGACAAAGGGCTCCATGGCTACTTCTCCCCTTCACTCCTCACATCAGCTCCTTGAGGTGAAAGGAATTTTCCTAATGAGGAAAATGGGAGCCGTAGCACTGCAGGCGGCAGAGGAGAGACAAATGATGCTGGCTTCGTCTTTCCAGAAGGCTGCGCCTGCCTGCAGCCGCTGTCTTAGTCAGCGAAGCGCCCGCCCGGGAACTCAGAAAACAGAGCTGTGCTTCTGCAGTCACAATCAGACGGAGTCCCGGAAGTGCGCTGGTGAATTTGGGTATCTGGAAAGCAGCTCCCAACGAACGGGTGTTTTTATAAGGCCCCCAAACACGCATCTCTCAGTTTGAAAAGGAAATGTAGAGAAAGAAAGGAAACACAGGGGGGGGGGGGTGTTAGAGGCTGCGGCAAGAAAACGACAATCTAAAGAGCAGCCTGGCCTGTATAGTGAGCCCTTGTATCAAAATTAATTCTGTTAAAAGAAGAAATATAAATGGCCAATAATATTTGGAAAAGTATTCAACATCCTTAGCTATCAGGGAAATGCAGACTGGCACTGCTTTGAAATTCCATCGCACCTCAGTCGGAATGGCTGTCACCAAGAAACAAAACGACAACAAGTGCTGGTGAGGAGAACCTTCACTCCCTGCTGACTGGAGTGGAAACGGGTACAGCCATTGGGAAATCTGTACGGAGCTTCCTCAAAACTCTCAAAATAGAACTAACCATATGATGCACTATACGAATGCCTGGAGTGGTATACACACGCACTGGAGATACTTGATCGCCCACGTTATCTCCCGTATCTAGAATTCCTTCCACTGGGGAGACCTAAGCAAGCTACCACTACCACCTGCCCCCCCCCCCCCCCCCGACAGAAGCAGAGGCACAGCTCCCCCTAAGTTCACTTTGGAAAAACCAATGATTTTCTTGGGTTTCATTACAGAGCACAGGTGAGGGGCGTGGGTGTTCCTCCCCCAACAACTAGCCACACTGACCCTGACCCCACAAGGTTGAGGGCTTCTCTACAGCCACATAGATGAAGTCTTCCTCCTCTAGCCGCCACCCCACCCTTAGATACTCAAGCCCCTCCCTGGGGTCACCTGCAATTAGGAGAGAATTGCATACAGCAGGTGGTGGAGAGCTGCTGGACACTCGGGTGGCCGTTGTGTGACCTACATGACGGGCTATAAGCAAGCCCGGCTGGACTAATCCTGTTGCAAGCGAGCTGAGCGGAACTCCCCAAGCTTGCTTGGCTAGGAGGACAGTCATGCACATCGCTGCACTACTCATGAGAGATGGATGGATAAAGGAAGTGGCTCCCCCCACACGGTGGGATTCTGTGCAAATATGGAGAGATCAAGTCATGGCACTGCAGCGAAATAGATAGAGCCGGAGATCAGCATGTTAAGTGAGCCTGACTCGAATAAGGAGAGGAGGGGAGAGAGTGCAATGGCGTTCCAATGACACGAAAGCTGAAAGAGGGACAGGAACCAGAGAGAGGATGCAGGGGATGGAGGAGGCCAGTGAGAAAGGAAGGCAAAGAATGAAGTGGAATGACATGTATGTAGGAAAGTGTGGAATGAAGCTCTCACTTTGTGTTCTGACTTTAAAGGTTCATAGTAGTTCTTTTTTTTTTAAGATCTTATGTGTACATGTTTGCTCATGTGTAATGAGCAAAGCAAAGGCCACCATTTGCATAGAAGGAGTCAGATCCCCTGGAACTGAGCTACAGATGGTTGTGAGGTGCCATGCAGGTGCTGCTGAACAAACCTGGGTCCTCTACAAAAGCAATGTGTGTTCTTAACCTCTGGGCCATCTCCCTAGCTCCAATAATAATTCTGTTTTAAAGAATAAAACTGGTTAATCCTAGCACTAGAGAGGCAGAGGCAGATGAATCTCTGTGAGTTTAAGAGCAGGCTGATCTAGGACACAGTGAGTTCCTGGCCAGTCAGAACAAAAAAAAAAAAGAGTAAAACTGGATTGGAGACACAGCTCAGTGTGCTTAGCATGCACAAGGCCCTGAGTTCCATTCACAGAAGCACATACACACCCAGAGCATGGATCAGGAAAGGGCTCACAAATTACCACTAGTACCAGCAGAGTAACTGGCAGTAATTGTCTGATGGGGGATGGAGAATAAGTTTTCTTCAGGTACGTGGCTCGTGATACGTTGCCTATGTTCCAGTGAATGATCCCATACACACTCATAAGTAGCCCTATTGTACTCATGGTTGTTGTTTCGTTTGTTTGTTTGTTTTGTTTTGTTTTTCTTTTTCTTTTTAAGGCCATGGAGTTGGGAGGGCACTGTGCTAGATAGCTTTTGGTCAGCTTGACACAAGGTAGAGTCGTCTGGGAAGAGGGACCCTCAGTTGAGAAAATGCCTCCATCAGATTGGCCTGTGGGCAAATTGGTGTGGGAGGGCCAGTGTGACCCCTAGGCAGGTGGGCTTGGGTTGCACAAAACGAAAGCTGAGGGGACCATGAGGAGCAAACCAGTAAGCAGCTCTCCTCCATGGCCTCTTCAGTTCCTGCCTCCAGGTTCCTGCCCCGGGTTCTCGCCCTGACTTCCCTCCACGGTGGACTCTAACCTGGAAGCTGAAATAAACCCTTTTCCTCCCCAGGTCGCTTTTGGTGATCATGTTTATCACCACACAACAGAAGGCAGACTAGGTTGGGGACACAGTGAGAGGAGTCCGAGAAGAGTATGGAAAGGGCAAATGGGGGCATGAATATGATTAAAATACATTGTGTACATGTATACATGCTTCTCAAAGAATAAAAAGATAGTATTAATCATAAATTAAAATTTAAGCCATTTTTAAAAAATAGAGAAAGCAAAATAATTTCAACAATGAGAATTTACTGGGGAAAATCCAAAGTTGGTGCTTGAATTTCCATAAGCTCTTATTAGTCAAGTTGCTATGACCATGCATATGTATGTCTGTGTATGAATATAAGTGTTCCTTTTACTAGGATGAAGGGCCAGGAGTGCGAATGCTATGCCACATGGTAGTTGTGTGTTCAATTCTGTAAGAAAATGCCAAATTTCTTCCAGAGTGGCCGCCAGCATTGGGTGTCATGATTGGCTTTTATTTTGCCATTCTGATAGGCATATTGAGCTATCTCACTGTGGTTTAACTGTGCCCTTCTGTAGCTGGAGAGTTTTCTCTCTAGATCCCACCAAACCCTGGCAGTCTGACAGCCCACTTATAAAATAAACACACAGACACTTATATTATTTAAACTGTTGGCCTAATGGCTCAGGCTTCTAGCTATCTAGTTCTTCCATCTTAAATTAACCCATTTCTATAAATCTATACCCTGCCATGCGGCTCGTGGCTTACCAGAGTCTTCACATGCTGTTTGTCATGGCATGGCGGCTGGCAGTATCTCTCTCACTTCAGCCTTCCTGTTCTCTCAATTCTCCTCTCTGTTAGTCCCGCCTATACTTCCTGCCTGGCCACTGGCCAATCAGTGATTTATTTATTGACCAATCAGCAACACATTTGACATACAGACCATCCCACAGCACCCTTCTCTGCTGGCTAGTGATGCTGAGTATCTTTTCACATGTTTACTCTCCATCTCTCCATCCTCTTCAGTGATAGGTCCGTCTATGGCTTCTGCCCATTTCCTAACTGCACTATTGGGGTTTTCACTGTTGAGTTTGGAGAGTCCTTCATGAGCTATGTAGTTTCCAAATATTTTCTCCCAGTCTGTAACTTATTTGTTTGTTTGTTTGTTTGTTTGTTTGTTTGGCTGTTTGTTTTTCTTGTGTATCTGCTGACCCATGCATGCCATGGCATCTGTGTGGAGGTCAGAGAAGCACCTGCAGGAGTCAGTTCTCACCTTCTACCATGTAGGTCCCTGGGATTGAACTCAGGTCAGCAGGCTTGGGAATGTCATCTGCTACTGCATCATCTCAGCAGCCCTGTAACTTAGCTTTCCACCCTATAGTCATGGCCTGTTGCAGAATAACACTTTCATTTGGATGAGAAGCTGTCAGTTTTTCCTGTAGTGAGTTGTTCCTTTTGACATCAGGTCTGAGAATTGTTCGTAGCTCCAAAGCCCCCATTCATTGTCCCCAAAATGTCTTATATTTACATTTAATTCAATGACTCATTTTGAGTTGTTTTTCAAATACGTGTGAAGTTCAGGCTGGGGTTCCTTTTTGCTTTTTCTGGTCTACAAACACCCACTTGCCCCAACGCCATCTGTTGAACAGACTCCCCTTCTTGGATATGGTGAATGACTCAAATGCTTCATCCCCAGCTTGGGGACAGATTTTGAAGGCTGTGAAACCTGACAGTGGTTCTCACCCTTCCTAATGCTGTGACCCTTTAGTACATTTACTCATGTTGTGATGACCCCCAACCACAACATTATTGTTGTTGCTACTTTATAACTGTAATTTTGCTACTGTTATTGTTACATAAATACCTGATATGCAATCTCAAATGGGTTGTGACCCATAAGTTGAGAACCACTGCTTAGGAGGTGGGGCCTGGATGGAGGAAGTGGGTCACTAGGACCAGGTCTGTAGATGTTACAGCCCAGTTCTGGTTCTGGGATGGTGCAGCTCTTTGCTTCCTGTATACCACAGTCATTTGAGAAATCCCTATGTACACTCCTACCTCCATGGTCTGAGCCACTCAGCTGTGCCTTCCCCACTATTATGGACCCTCTGCAACTAAGAGCCCAAATCAATCTTGTCTGTCTTAAGAGGCTCCTATCAGGTCACTTGTCAAAGTGATGAGAACAATGGCTAACCCAGAGGCCAATTCTTTGGGAATCATTTTGATCATTGCTCCCAACCTTCAACTGTGAGCTCCAGAAGAGAAATGCCTGTCCCTTTACTGTGTCGAGCAGGGACATTGACTTAGACTCTGGAGCTGAGAGACAAACATTAAAATCCCACTTTTGCCATATACTAGCTATGGACCTTTGGCAAGTCATTTGAGCCTCTAAACCTCAGTTTCCACATCTGTAAAATGGGTGTAACTGCCTGTGTTGCAAGACTGTTATAAAATTAGACGAGAGAATTAAACAATTCTGTATCGACTCCTTACTTGGCACAAAATAGGCCATGGATGGTGATAACCATCTCATTTCCAGAGGAACACACATTTTGAAATAAAGGGGGAAAATTTGGAAAAGGCAGCTACATATAATATTAGGAGTAGGGTACAGAAGTGACATAATGGAGTTC